CACCAGAGGCCGCCAGCCCCGCGTGGACTTCGTGGGCGAAGTCACCACTTTCCACTTGGGTGGGTGGGAGTGGGGGAGGCCGGGATGGGCACAGATGGGGGCCCAAGAAAGGGGAGGAAGTGGTGGAGGCGCACGGTTGGGGTTCAAGGCGAGGGATGTTCAGACCCAAAGAGCCATCCCCATAAATCCGGCCTCCACCGATGTGTGCAACAGACTGCTGCGCCCCAGCCAGGCACACGCACTCGTGCACACTGACAACTTTCCGTGCCTTATCACACTGTTTGTGTTCTGCCCATCATTCACTTGTACTCTTGCACACCTTCTATATATTGTTCACTTTCATTTACAAATGAAAAAAAAAATAAGGCCAAGTTGGCATGGCCAAAGGAGAAATTCTGGGGGACTCTGATAACTGGGCTATTAAAGTGCTCATTCAGGTATAGATGGATCCAGGAGCTCAAGCAATGTAACCTGGACTCTGTTGCTTTATTCTTTGTTCTGTCTTTGAGCTGCACAGGTCTGCTTGGCTTCCATCCCGGGAAGAGATACTGTTTACTTTGCAGTAAGGTCCTTGCTAAGTTTCCCACATCGGACTCAAACTTGTGATTCTCCTGCCTCAGCCTCACAGAGTGCTGGAACTACAGAGGTGTACCGCCAGGCCTGATTCAGGCATCTTTTTTTTTTTCCAGTACCGGGGATCAAACTCAGGACTTTGCAAGGCAGGTGGCGACACCGAGCTAAATCTTGGGCCCATCAGGCATGTTTTTTTGTGGCTCTAGCAAAGGTCTGGAGCTGAATCTGTTTTACTTTTCTCTCATTGCTGAGACAAAATACCTGATACCCAAAGTTAAAAAAGGAAAGATTTATTTATCTCACAGTTTGTAGAGGTTTCAGTCCATAATCAGCTGGCTCTAAGACAGGGTGTCATGGTGAGACAGACTTTACAGAGGAGAAACAGTTCATGGCAGGCAGATGGCAGCAAAGCAACGAAGGACAACTACAGCTCTTTTCATCCCTAATAGCTTATCCATGCTCCATACTCAGGGCAGGTAGCAGGTAGCACTCACACTTAGTTCCTAGTGCCCTTGATCCTAGCACTGCACCATGAACAGATCCCAGCGTATCACGCATTCTAGACCCAGCCACCTTTGACAAGCCCTACCACGACTACATGAGGCTTTGGGGAGACATCTAGACACAGCCATAACAGAATCTAACTGGGTGCTAATGTGGTCAGGTGTCCCTTCCTGTGGCCAGGAATAGGGATGGTGTGACTGGCCTGGCCTGAGCCATGGCGTTGGTTAGTCCCACTTGAGCTAGACTTTGCCCACAGTGTGGGATTCTGGGTAAGCCAAACTGTCTGCCAGGCCCTAGGCACTGACTTGTGTGATGCTTTCACTTGTGTGCATAACCACTTGCTGACAAGTGTTAACTGAGCACCTGCACTGGGTGAGTTGCTGTTCTAGGATTTAGGGACACAGCCAGGCACAGGAGAAAGGCCTTGAGCAAACACAAGAGCCATTCCTTATCTGCAGGTGGCCATCAGCGCTGAGAGGGCTGGGAAGGTGGGGGGCTGCAGCTGCTGTGCTGAGGACTCTAGGGAAGGGGATGGAGGAGTGTTCTCCAGCAGTGCTGAAGGGAGCGAGCCATGGGCTCAGTTTACTGCTCCACTACGAGCTGCAGCCCAGACCAGACTTGCAGTCATCCTTATCACCTTAATGGGCCACCCTCGAAAGCCCTCAGCTACCCTCTGTCCCCACACTCCCTGTTCCACCTTCCCTCACCCTCTCCCCACAGGGCCACACATCCAGACTCCCGGCACAGGAGTCAACCAGAGCCTCACCCCAGGCTTCCCCTTTCTACCCCAGGACCTCGTGGTGCCTACTTCCGCTGCCAGAACGGCAGGTGCATCCCCCCGAGCCTGGTGTGTGACCACTGGGGCCTGGACGACTGTGGAGACAGCAGCGACCAGGGGTCCTGGCCACCAGCCAGCTGTGGAGGTCAGTGATGCTGCAGCCTGGGCCCTACGGAACAGCCAAGGGTAGTGGGCCCTGGCTGTCCTTCCCTGAGGTAGGAGGCAGGGCCCAGCTCGGGGAGTCAAGAGCCGCGGGTCAGAGTGCTCAGGGTAGAACAGTGCATGTGGGTGTGGTCAGCTGTGGCAGAAACTTGCCTTAAACTGCACCTGGCACAGAAGGGCATGGAAAGTGGAGGTGCTTTGCTGAATTGGGTGTGGGCCTCGGCCCTCCCTGCCTGTCTGATGTCGGTCTCTCAGGTGCCTGAGTCTCACCCTGAATACCTACTTTGAAAACTTAATCTTGTGTGGAGAAACTGAGGTCTGGAAAGAGAAGTGACTTACTCAGGGTCAAAAGGCCAATGAAGAGCACGATCAGGGATGGACTGTATAAAACTGGAGTAGATCACTTTCTGGGGATCTGGAGATCTCCCAATTAGGAGAGGAATGGAAATGAGCATGATGCTGCACACCTGTAATCCCAGTAGTGGAGGCTGAGGCAGGAGGATCACTTCAAGTACAAGGCCAGCCTGGAATACATAGTGAGACCCCATCTCAAAAACCACAAACAGATAGACACCCAAAATAACCCTCCCTGCAAACAAACAGGCAAACCCAGAAAAACAAAATTAAGCACACAAAAAAGGAGGTGGAGGTAGGGATGCCTGGTTTGGCTGTACACATTGTTCACTGTAGAAAAGCAGCAAGCGGTGGTAAAACCCAGCTTCCCAAAAGGCCACCCAGTTGTCCTCCCGAGGCACTTTGCATATTCCCTTGTTAGTTTCTGGTTATTTCCCTGAAAGCCAGTCCTTTGTGCCCTGAGGCTCAGTTCCTGCGTCTTCTTCTCATTGTCAGAGTTCTCCTCTCAGGTCTCCATGGCTGGACAGCTCTGGTCCCGTCTGCACGTGGCTGTAGGTGACTTCTCAGACTTCACTTCCCCCAAACTCAGTCTCTCACCCCACCGCGCAGCAGTCAGCCCGGCTGGATAAGCAGCTTTGGCCCCAGCTTTCCAGTCACCCCGTCCCTCTACCTCCTCTGACGTATTAGCACGTGGTGTGTTTCCCAGGATAGGCGGAGTCACACAGGCGTTTCTGTATACTTTGCTCCCACTGACCCCCCTAGCCCCTCAAGGCAGACGCCCGAGAAATACTAACAAATGAGTGGCACAGGAACCTCTCTGCCTTGGTTTCCTCACTTGTGAAATTCTAGGACACACGTCAACTTTCAGAATGTGGCAAACTGTACACGAAATACTGCAGGCAGAGGGCTTGGCACACAGAAAGCACTCAGTACGTGCATATACATCTCCCTTCTTGAAAAATAGGGGCATTAATGACCCCAGAACCTGAATCTGGACTGGGTGGGTTCACACCCTCTTCTCACTCCCAGCTGCGTGACCCTGGCAAGAGACTGGACCTCTCTGTGCTTCTCTTCCCTTGTATGTAAAGTAGAAATACGGACAGAGGCCTTGAGGGATAAATGACACAGAGGTGCCAGGAAGGGCAGTGCCCAGCATACTGGTCCTATTACTGCCCACTGCAGGTCCCTCTCTGCCACCGGGCCAGGCAGGGGGCATGGACATCGACTCCTCCAAGTCCCCGACTCTCTCTGTGGCTCTGGGTTCTGCAGGCCCCCACGGGAGTGCACCGGAGAGGAGTCCCCCAGGAGGCCAGGACCCTGCGCGGCATGATGCAGCTGTGGAAGGTAGAGCCGCTCTGCTCATACTGCTGAAACCACACCTACCCCGTCTGGGTGATGGGAGCCGGCGGCTGGGCCAGGCTGAGGCTGAGTGGACTCTTTCTTTGTGCAGGCCCCCGGCTGCACGGTGTGGCGCTGGCCTCCTCGCTGCTCCTGGCCTCCATCAGCCTCCTCGTGGGCCTGCTCTGCTGCTGCTGCTCTCCGGGATGGCCGGCCTGGCTTCTGAGTGCCTGGGGCGTGTGCCTCAGATGCAGTGCAGCCGGCAACATCTGCCCCGTGTGTCCTGGCCGGGTGGCCCCTGGGGGGCCCGAGGACGGGGCCCGGCCTTCAGGACCAGGGAGACCGCCCCTAGAGAGGCTGCGGCCCTGGCTGGTGAGATTGCTGGGCTCGGCTGCCTGGCCCGGGACACTTAACGTTTCCTGCCAGCATGTGGTGAGGGTTGCAGGAGGCGCAGTGCACACAGTGACCGGTCCTTTGGCAGGCGTGGGCATCGCTTGGCTGGATCAGGGGAGAGTGTGGCCTCCACGGGAGGCTCAACTCACACCCAGACCCCAGCAGCAGCTGTGTCCCGTGCCAGCCTGCTCTCCAGGTGCCACTGAGCCAAGCCCCAAAGAGACACAGCAGACTCCTGGCAGGGATAGCACCGTTTATTAAGGAAAATCAAGACAAAGACCACAGGAGGGTCCCTTCTAAGACCTGAGGCCAGGCATCCCAATGCCACAGGATGGGGACGGCTGACCACCAGGTCACTGGGCTCCCAGGGACGGGGCCGTCATTTCCCCTCAGCTCCCCCCAGGTCTCGGCCTCCCCACTGTAAGGCACTGGCTCTTCCCGACCACCAGCTCCCCCAAGTCCCTGGGCCTTCACTTCCAGGAGAGCGGGGGTTGTGGCTCGGTGTGGTGAAACCTCAGTGCTGGGTGCTCCAGGGAGGAGCTGGGGGGTGGTTCTTCCTTGCAGCCCCGAGGGGTATCCCGGGCTGTGTGGGGTGGTGGGAATATGCAGAGGGAAGGAGTGGGGGGACTGCGGCACTGAGTGGAGGTGGGGTTGGGAGAGAGCTGGTGGGGAGAGAGCAAGCTGCCTTCTGCTCCACAAGGGCGGCTGCGGAGTTTTCCAGCCGGGGGTGGGGAGGGGAGCCATGTGACGGCCCCTGTTCACTTCGCTGTGGGCACCAGGTGGTAACCTGAGCTGGTCCTTAGGAAGGAGGCCTGCCCAGGGGCTTCCAAAGAGGAAGGGGGGCTCCGTCAGGGTGGGAGGGGTCAGGACAGATCTGGGCACACGCAGCCACTGTGCCCAGCCTGGGCTCTCGGTGGCTTTCTGAGGAACGGACCCTCCCTCCTCCCCTGCCCACCGGCTGTAGGCTTCGCCCATGTGGGAGCCGTCGCGCCCACCCCTCCAGTCCAGCCCAGGGCAGTAGCAGCAAAGCGTGGCATCGCCTCAGTTTCTTACAAAAAAACTCATCATAATAATATTAATAATAATAATATACTCGACCTTGTCAGGCTGGGCCCGGCCCGGGAGTCCACGGGGAGCAG